GATCATGTCAGTATTGTAGCGTTTTATTATATTGATCATGTCAGTATTGTAGCGTTTTATTATATGGGTTATGTCAGTATTGTAGCGTTTTATTATATGGATTATGTCAGTATTGTAGCATTTTATTATATGGATCATGTCAGTATTGTAGCATTTTATTATATGGATCATGTCAGTATTGTAGCGTTTTATTATATGGGTTATGTCAGTATTGTAGCGTTTTATTATATGGATCATGTCAGTATTGTAGCGTTTATTATATGGGCCATGTCAGTATTGTAGCGTTTTATTATATGGGCCATGTCAGTATTGTAGCGTTTATTATATGGATCATGTCAGTATTGTAGCATTTGATTATATGGGTTATGTCAGTATTGTAGCGTTTTATTATATGGATTATGTCAGTATTGTAGCATTTTATTATATGGATCATGTCAGTATTGTAGCATTTTATTATATGGATCATGTCAGTATTGTAGCATTTTATTATATGGATCATGTCAGTATTGTAGCATTTTATTATATGGATCATGTCAGTATTGTAGCATTTTATTATATGGATCATGTCAGTATTGTAGCATTTTATTATATGTGTTATGTCAGTATTGTAGGGCTCTATTATATGGGCCATGTCAGTAGTGTTGGACATCTTGGCATAATATTGCGTTCTATTATAAATTATATAGTTAATATCCAGAAGTATAGCATTCTATTACATGGGTACTGAGAGTAGTGTAACGTTGTATGTGGTTAGTATTAAAAGCATTGTAGCGCTCTATAATGTCAGTTAAGTACATTTTTATTTCGGTCGTTTAACGACAAACTGTTACTGTTGGCTGTTTAAATGTTACAGCATTGTTTCGAATGGTTACATTACAAACTGTTGCTTTTTAATGTTGAAGAAACTCAATATCTTTTATTAAGTATGGAAATAAATAAATATTTTGTTTTACAGTCAAGCGTTTTTTTGTTAAAATATTAAACATGTACCGAGTGCCATTAAATTTGCCCTAATTGTAAACGACGAAGAAAACCAATTTTAGCACAAATTTGACTCAAACTTAATTGGAAAAGTTTGTAGGAAATATAGGTACCTTATACAGATTATCAATCAGTTGATATGTTAAAGTGTATAATAAAAGTAAAATAAACCGCTGCAGACCTTGAGATCCATTGGGCAGATGAAGTAGAGTTCATGTTTCTTGACCTTGAAAGGTGTGGTCTGCACTTTGCCAAGTCGCATTTACTTACCTTAAAATTAGTTAGGTACCCATTAGAGCTGGGTGGACTCAGGTACGTTCTACTGACTTGAACTCGGATACGAACTCGACATTTTCAGGTTTAGGTCAGGGGTCTCCAAACTTTTCAGCCCGAGGGCCGCATTAACTAGAAAATATCACTTCGGGGGCCAGAGTTTCTTCGAGGCATCTTTTTGAGATGCAACCCCCCCCCCCCCCCCCCCCCCCCCCGAAGAACGTCTACCAACCCCTCCCCGACGAAATGAAATGTAACAAGAAATATATACAAATTTCAAGTGTCGTCGTCGTCCACCCCCCTGAGAAAAAAAGTCAGAAAGAAACACTGTCGAGCTCAAAGTTTGTTCTCAAATTTTTCTTTACGTATTTCATTCTTAAAAATGTTTGTTCACACAAGTATGTTGTTCCAAAATTTGAATGGTACTTTGATGCAAAAGTTTTAATATTAGGAAAGTCTTCCTATGGCAAAATTGCTTGCAATTCAACGACCTGCAGCTGCAGTTCATATGGGCAACTGACCACATCTGCTTAAAATGGGTTTTGAAACAGTGTCACTTCTTCTGTCTTTGAATCCAAGCCAGAAAATTGCTACTGAAACTGCAGCTTTGATGATTTCGCATACAAATGACCCGTGGGACTTAGCTGTTGCCTCAGTCATTAAGACCTTGCACTGCTGAAAGTGCATCAATTTGTTGGTCTGTATTTGTTAAAAACATGACAACTTTGGATGTGAAAGCCCTAAGATGTGTGTAAAGATCAGAAGCTAGATTTCCCTCTCTTGTAGTTTTAGGTTCAGAAAAGTAAAATGACTAGCTAGCTATGTCTGTAGCAGAGGCCAATTTCCATACCCAATTATCATCAGACATTAATGGCTGTGGCTTGCCTTTACTTTCCAGGAAGTCACCTATTTCCATTTTTTACTTAAATACTCTGCTCTGAACTTTCTCACAACTTAGCCATCTTGCTGTTGTGTAATAGGGTAAATCTTGCGATTCTGTGTTTGTATCTTTCAACATTACTCTGAACTATCTATAGTTGAGCCCATCTGACCTTATTAAATTCACCATCTTCACCATAGGATTCAATAAATAATAGTGTAGGAATATTGGTTGCAGAATGTTTTTCTGTAGGGAAGCCAGCTCTTATGTTATGTTCATGTGTATTCCACACCTCTAATGAACACAAGCAGTTGAGAGGTAGAACAGCTGTCCAGCGACTCATCAATTGCAATTGAAAAATGGTGAAGCTTGCCTGCATTTTTCGTTATTTGAGTCACAATGTTTTCACCAATGTCTACAACATGGAGGGCAATGGCATTTGCACCCAAAGCCACATTTTCTAATAGTTTTGAATTTTCTGGGCAAAGTTCCTCAGCCACCACCAACAAACATTTTTTTCCGTGGACAAAAAGATCTCCGCGGGCCGGACGAGAAGACCTCGCGGACCGCATCCGGCCCGCGGGCCGTAGTTTGGAGACCCCTGGTTTAGGTAACTCCGTCCCAGTTGTTGAAATATCCTTGTCTAGAATTAGAAGAATACGCTCAGTTGTTTAGTATTATAAACTTTTTAATGTTTAAAGGATTTTTCTATTTTACTTCTATTTTTTTATAATTCAAGTTGTACAGTGTATGCGTTTTTATAACAGTAAAGACAATCAGGTTATAGAAATGTCCGGTAGGTTTGTGATGAAAGTTCTTAGATTATGCTGTTTATTAGAATATGATATTATTGTCAAATTCTGAAGGTTTTCGACAAACTGAAAATTAGATAGACCTACCACTTCCGATTATAGGAAACCGCTCAACAGTTATTATGTAGTTGTTTGAAACTTTCTAATCGGATCTAACACTTATATATGAAGGTTCGCCCACACACATAAAAACAAGTTTGTAAAACTTTTTATTTCGGAATGAGGAAGGTATAAAACATAATTGGTCAAAATCCAATATTTTTAAAGGGTGATGTTTTGAAGAACCACAATTTTTACTGTATTAATTCGGATAGCCTCGACTTGTCTGACCCTTAATACTATTTCAATATATATATATATATATATATATATATATATATATATATATATATATATATATATATATATATATATATATATATATATATATTAAAACAAATATTTTTTAAAATCTTTATTATTTAGAATTTAATTTAAAATTGTCAAAGATAATTAAATATCTTTTATATTTAAGCCAAACAATAATTTCACTTAAAAATACGCAAGAAAAAAAAATTAAATTTAAAATCAGCTTAAACTTAAAGTAGACTTGACTCATCCCAACCAGGAGTGGACCGGCCCACCGGTGGGCCCCACATTAAAAAATCTCGGTGGGCCCATGCCTAATTAATAGTCCTATAAAAGTTTCTTTTTTTTTTTTTGGTTTTTAAATTATCAATATTTTACCATTTCTTCCTGCCGAGGCGTAAAATTCAGGCTTTGGTGGAGAAATAAAAACATACGCAAATTTCCATCTGGGTTTCAGGGACCCCTTTTAAAATATCCCAGGCCTGTTTGTCATAGTCCAGTCCAACCCCTGATCCCAACCCCCCCCCCCCCCCTCTAATTCAAACAATAAAAATATTAAAAAATATACACCAAATTTTTAACCTGCATTTGTTTCTATAGCCTGCATACTTATGACGTCACGCGTTGTTATTTTGACGTCTGCGCCGATGTTTACAGTGAAGAATACCGGCAACATTGAGCAGACTTCCTACCAGATTTGATCTATCGACACCATCGCCATTCATCCCCTCCCTCCGCCGTCACCAGAAGCAGACCTACATCTCTAATCATCCGTGTGATTTCCCGGTGTTCGCGTTACAAACAATCCCGAAAAAAAATATCCCAGGCGGATATAAACTGTACATGCCTGCAAAATGTCGGTGTTTACGATAAAGCTACTCCCCCGAAATGTGGGGACCACCTTTTTTAAACAGACGACAATGGCGCGGGGTAGAGACGGTTAGCAAATGAAGACGACATAACAAAAAATAAATAGAAATAATGCGTTTAATATGCCTCGCTCGTCTTCTAGCGGGTATGTAACGGGTTAAAGAAAGACAGCAAGGATCGTTTATCATATTTGCCCGCATCATTCCAACACACACTAAGATGTCAGGTTTCCGATTCGGAAACGGTCTAAGGAAGATTTAACGCGCCTGATCTACTAGAACGGAATAAGACAAAAATTGTGTAGTCGAGGTTATCCCCCTTTGAGAGAGAAAAAAAAAGAAGTTGCCGCCCCTATCTAATACTGAACTACCTGTGTTGGAAGTTATCTGCCCTTGGCAAGACTTTCTCGAGTGGCTCCTCCTACTTCAGCCTAAGACAACAGATGGGTGCCAGAACTAGCCAATAGAATTCTAGCGAGTAGTTGTCAAAACTTTATTGGCCACGCCCCCTTGAACACTTTCTTTACTATCACAACTCCTGCTTATTTAAAAAAAAATTAATGCATATTTACAACTCTCATTAATTAGTATATTTCTAGGTATATAATTAATATAAAAAACACAAATACATACGCACTATGTAAAAAACTCCAGTTGTAAGTTAACCTGTAACCTATAAAATTTACATATTCAAAGCGACCTTCGCTCCCGTACCCAACAGTGCGGAACGCGCGTCTCTCAAAGCTCCTCCCCCTTCCACCCCATCCCTACCCAGTCCCATCCCCTTTCAACCGTGCCTAGGTAAACATCATCGCCGAATTCCATCAGACACCTCAGCAAAGGCGAGCCTGCATTTCTACTCAGTCGGCCGTTTTACGAGCACGGCATTTGATGTACTAGCACTAATCCCCACCCTAACAAAGACGTGATTTCTTTCCCCGGCACCCCCAACAACCAGCTCCGCGGATCCTGACTCGGATTTTTCCAGAAGTTCTCTACAATATCTCCAGAATCGACAAACCCTCTTCTCGTTGTATGAGTAAGTAACATTTCATACTCATCTATATCGGCATTATTACATTTTGATGAAACACACTCGATTCATTGAATATTTGACAATATGTTTAAATAATCTTAAACTCGAGTTCATGTTTTTTTTTAAAAAAATATATTATAAATGAAAGCAAACTCATTAATTTTATCAACGGTAATTTAATGTAGGTTCCTGTTAGGTGAGCATTGTTTACGCGTGCGGCTGTTTAGCTCATTAGTAGCTCTTCGATAGACATCACGAGATTCATAATTAGAATATCATAGCTAATCACAAGCGTATCTCCGGCTTTGAGTCTTTGAACACACACGGTGTTAGGTTGAAGTTGGCGTGCAATGAATGTGTTAGACACGGTAGCACGTCTCTAAGTTCGTGTGAACTAGAATCGTTGATCAATGAAATTAAAGGATAATCCGTTTTTTAAGACAAGAGAAATGGAGTTGGAAATTTATTTGTCTTCATCTGTTTCTCGTTAAAGATGGGCAACTATATAATGCGGTTATTGTGGAGTCATATATAGCAACCATCAATATGGCTATATCGCAGTTTAAGTTAGAAATAGCGAATATATATAGCAATCTTTATTGTGGCTATACCGTAGTTTGAGTTTTAAAAATGGCGAGAAATTATATAGAATGTCTTGAAACAGTCGCGTTTTGTTTGCGTTGCAATTTTTATTAAGGTGAGCTAAATTAAAATAAATATAAATATTTTTTTAAAGCTAATTGCTTCTTATCCTACTAAAACAGTGTAAAGTTCAAAAAACGATGGATGTTGTTGGCTGTTGGTTAACATCTAAGACCAAAGGCTGTTGTGTATTGTACAGTTCTCTCGAAGTCCCATAAGTTTTAAATAATGTCACTAATCAATTTAATGTGTGATATATGTGAAATCTAATTTTAACTGAACTTTGAATTTTATAAATTGATTTTTAAAGATTACTTAACAACTATCTTATAAACAAGTTAATTTTTAACTACTTTAATGTACTTATAAATTAACTTGTTATAAGATAGTTTTTAAGTATGCTTTGAAAATCAATTTATAACATTTATAGTTCAGTTAAAATTAGATTTCATATATTAGTTTTACTTAGCTATTATGGTGTGTAAAGTTATGAGATAATTAATTTGTAAAAAATTACACTATAAATTATTTTTTAAATTCTTCTTTAAAAAGTTATGTAAAAAGTATAAACATCAATTATAATAAAGCATAGGCTGTCATACGCTGAAATCTCTGGAACATTGTTATTTTATGATCCATCGATAAAAATTGAACTAGAGCTGAAGAGTCTAACCGGCACCAGTCGGCCATGTTTTTTCTCGCTAGCCGTAAGTCATACGTCTATCTTTTCTCGCTCTCCGTAAGTCAAACGTCTATCTTTAATCTAACACCAGCGCTAAACCTAACAGTTAACGCTAACCAAAACCTGCTGGGTAGTAACAGTGGGGTTAAAGATAAGCTGTGACGTTAGGCCATCTCGCTAGTATATTAAAACGGATTAATAATTCCGTCATAAGTTAGTCGCAATACGTTGAATGGGATAAAATTAATCCGTCTTGTTTAATAAATCTACTGAACAATCATAGAAACAAAAGCGAATTCAGCATCGAACTAATTATTTGAAATTATTAGAACATATCTTAATTAAAAAAATATAAAAACAATTATTACATTATCGCTAGTTTTTGTTTTGTTTAGGATTAACTTCACCAGGAAAACAATCACCACACAGAACCCGAATCATGGAGATAACTAAGAGCTGTCTTTACCTTGTGATAGCTATCTAAATACAGCAAACTAATATATCAAACAAATATCAAACAAACACGTCTCATAACAAACTTGTATTTTCTTTTTAATACTATTATCTATACATAAACATGGGTGTATATATATATATATATATATATATATATATATATATATATATATATATATATATATATATATATATATATATATATATATATACGATGTGGGCTTAAATTCGTTTATTTAGTTTTTCGACCTGTAAAGACATACATATGGCCTTTGTTACTTACATTTTTTTGCCTTCGTTGTTTTTCAGATGTTTACAGAATGCGATTGTGATTAAACTCAACAAAAAATTCGAAAGCGATGACTAAACTGGCTGGTTAAGTATATCAGGTACATTTTTTTTGCAATGGAATTTACATAACTTCGTCAGATTTTAACAACAACAATTAATTAAGTTTAGAGCACAGTTCTGTTTCTTAGAAATTTAATTTAGCTAATTAGGAGTTCTTCTAGTAAGCCAACAGTATTTCCAATTATTTTATAGACAATAATTTGCTCACAAAGAAATAAAGTCTCAAAAAAAAATATTTTTAATCCAAAACCAATGTGTATATGTGTAAATATAAATATATATAAATAAATAAATATATATATATTTACATAGTGTTTTTTCAACTTGTGCATGGCTATATTTTCGTTATAATGGGTTTGTAATAATTTAAATTCTAGTTTTCACATGAAAATCAGCATGAAAGGGAATGTACTCTTTACCACCCTTCCCCATGACTGTTTTGAATTTACTCATTTCCATTGTAAAGTCAGAGAGAATAAAACTGATTTTCTAGTCAGACACATTTTTATAAGATGTATTATAATAGTTAAATAATAACTATAATAGTTAAATAATAATTATAATAGTTAAATAATAATTATAATATTTAAATAATAATTATAATAGTTAAATAATAATTAGGCCATATAATAGTTAAATAATAATTATAATAGTTAGGCCTACATTAAATATACAAAGTATGAGTGAATTTTTGTATGTAGTACTAAAATGTCCACCATAAATTATATTGTTACCAATTTAAAAACTTGTATTGTATATACGCTTCCTCACAGAAATAAGTAGGCTAGATAATTTAACAATTTAAATTTCTAAATGTTTTAATATAAGTATATAGGCTATAGTTGCAAATACTGGGGAAATAATATTTGATCAATTATCCAAGTAAAATATTCTTCAAAACTAAAAGTAAATCAAGATGTTTGGATGTAATATTTTATATTGCATATTGATGATATAAACCATTTTGTATGTTAAATAAGTTTATTATCAAGATATTTCTTTGTAGATGATTGTCATATCTTTAAATTATTTTTCTCAGCCGTATTTTGTCTAAATATGTTTTTGTTTCTAAATTCTGTCAGGTCTTATTATGATTTGACTTCATGTGCTAAAATAACGTCACGACTATCCATGAGACTTATTATTATCTTAAAATATTGTTCATTAGATTTTTCTTCTTCTTCGTCTTCGCGCTTAATTTATTGTAGTGTTGTATTTAAGTATTACACGTGAACTAATTAAGCGACATATAGGAAGTTGACTCCGATTTCAGCCTGCTTTTCCTTCTGGATTTGCTCCCATAGCCTTTGTTCAACCAAGTACTAGTCATAAGACAGCAGTTGTTTGATTTTGGAGTTGTCTCTCCTAGATAGGTTGCTGTCGAGCTCGGGTCTTTTCAGTTAAGCAACCATGAGCAACCCGACCTGATGACTCCAACCCCTGTACATTAGAGTGGTCTATGAGTCTTTGAAATGTGCGGCACTGTTTATGACTTCCAGCAATATAAATTGATTTAAGATTGAAATCTTTATCTTTATCGAGTGAATAATATATAATCTGATTCAATTCGACAAGATTTTAATGTTATATTCTTACTTAGACAAAATTCTGACTACACGCACATGGATGTTTTTATATTTTCAAAAATATAAACTGTATAAACACAACATGATTTGAGTATTCTGTTATATAAAGCACACAAGGAACTCAAAATCTCAAATATATAGGCCCTTCTAAGGTAAGAATAAATCAAAACAATAGTTGTAAAGTGTATACTCTTTGTATTGATGGTTGTTTTAATCTACGCCTTTATCCCCAGGACCGACGGTGTAGGAGTCAGAGAACCGACGGCGTAGGATACATAGAATCGACGTGTAGGAGACAATGGAAAGCATGGAGCGAGTAAGCTGCCCGACCCGCGGGAACATGAACTCCTTCAGCCCCGGGTCGTGCAACTACGGCATGGGCCGCTTCCTCCCCCGGTCTACGCCCTTCAGCGACTGCATGCAGAGTGCCGGGGTGGGGATGGGGCACGGGCCCGGGGGCCACTTAGGATACTCGCCATACACGGACTGGAACCTGCTGTACCACTCCCACGGCCTGTCCAACAACTCCCTGGACCGTCAGGTCGGGGGCGCCCTCGGGCACCACCACAGGGCGTCGTCGCATTATTTCTCCATGTCCCCCAACATGGTCTCCGGGAAAGACTACGGCTCCTCCCTGCATCAGCCCGTCCCCACCCAGGGGATGGGGGTCGGGATGCACGGGTCACACCCGTCCCACCATTCCCCACACCCAGCGTACCCGTCCCCGCCGCTGGTGCCCTCACAGCACCAGAGAACTCAGTACGACCCCACCCCCGTGGGGTACCACTCGCTGTGTGGCACGGGACCCGTCTCCCCACAAGGTGGCGCCTCCTGCATGTCCCCGGATATAGACAAGAAGGAAAACAAACCCAAAGGTAAGCTCATTAATTATCACAATTAGATAATTAATTAATTTACTAACTACAGACATTAACTTATAACTATTACAGTATGCGCTTTTTTTAACATTAGTTAAAAACTTTAAAAATAGTTCCCTAAGTAAACAACAAATTGAAAAAAAACAAACAAACATATCTGTTATTGTATAGTTGTCTCTTATTAACAATTTTAAAAAATACTATCACTAATTTAAAAATAAAAAAAAGTAAAAAAAAAAATAATTATTACAAATATTTAAAAAATAACACATTAAATAAAACTAACAAAGTATGTATGAATTGCTTAACATTACAATAGCCCTTGGTTTGGTAATTTGTATATAACAGCCACCAGAGATCGAAATAATAGGTATTATTTTCCGCCTCAGACATGTTATTTACAGCGTCAGTTTGCCTTGTATGTTCGTTTAGTATTACAGTTTTCTTCATCGGCTTGTGAGGACTGATACAGATTTACAATAGTAATAGAGATCTACTTCTTTCATAGTTGTAGCCTACTTTCATTCATTCAAGATGGTTTACTTATACATAGAAATAATAGGTAATTAATATTGTTTTATGTACACAGGTTTTTATTTTATAAAAAAAATGTAGTAAGTTTTCTCTAATAAAACACGACAATCGTCATAAAAGCAGTGTATTTGTATGGTGGATAAGCTCATATATATGTCTATTATGACTAAAATTGTTACTTGTAGCAATTTGAATAATTTTGGCACAATTTAAGTGACTGTCAGTCATTACAATTTTAAACAAAATGATGAATTTTAAGCGATATAAAAATAGAAATCAGTGGAAAGTAATTCCATTTCAAAATTATCGTAAATAACATTTTCTAAAATAAACCGGGAGTGATCTCCCCTAAACTTTCTCGAATATTCTTATATAAAATAACAGGGGATGGGAACTCGGGCTATAGACATGATTTTTAATCCATTTTAAATACTTAAAGTTTTAAAAATAGAATAAAATCTCGTAGACAAATTAATTGCACACCAAGTGAACGCAAATAAAATAAACCGGGAGTGATCTCCCCTAAACTTTCTCGAATATTTTTATATAAAATAACAGGGGATGGGAACTCGGGCTATAGACATGATTTTTAATCCATTTTAAATACTTAAAGTTTTAAAAATAGAATAAAATCTCGTAGACAAATTAATTGCACACCAAGTGAATGCGAAATAAAAAAGCGCATAATAGTGCGCAATATTATTAGTACTTTTAAAATTTACATTAGTTTTTTGAGAAATCGGAAGTAGCGTAAATTACTACTTCCGGTCAACGGAAATTACTCAAAATTTAACAGAAGGCAGAGAATTAGATCTTTTACTTACATGTGAAATTTCATTTATCTATCTGAAATAGTACTCAAGTTATAGGCTTTTGAAAAATTCAAAGTAGAAAAAGTACCACTTCCGGTTGTCGGAAATCGCTCAAAAGTTGATACGGATCTACGATTTTGATATAATACTTATATATGAAATTTCATCAACCTAGCTGTAACGGTACTCAAGTTATCGTGTTTACACACCGACACACAGACACACAGACACACACACACACAGACATACGGACAAGATTGCAAAATTATGTTTTTCCGTATCAGTAAGGTGTAAAACGTCGAGATTTGTAAAAATCTCGATTTTTTTTTTGCACGATTACAATACTTTCTCTATACTACGTATATACGAGAAAGTAAAAAGCGCATAATAGTGCGCAATATTATTAGTACTTTTAAAATTTACATTAGTTTTTTGAGAAATCGGAAGTAGCGTAAATTACTACTTCCGGTCAACGGAAATGACTCAAAATTTAACAGAAGGTAGAGAATTAGATCTTTTACTTACATGTGAAATTTCATTTATCTATCTGAAATAGTACTCAAGTTATAGGCTTTTGAAAATTTCAAAGTAGAAAAAGTACCACTTCCGGTTATCGGAAATCGCTCAAAAGTTAATACGGATCTACGATTTTGATAAAATACTTATATATGAAATTTCATCAACCTAGCTGTAACGGTACTCAAGTTATCGTGTTTACACACGGACAGACAGACAGACAGACAGACAGACACACAGACAGACACACAGACATACGGACAAGATTGCAAAATTATGTTTTTCCGTATCAGTGAGGTGTAAAACGTCGAGATTTGTAAAAATCTCGATTTTTTTTTTTTTTTGCACGATTACAAGACTTTCTCTATACTTCGTATATACGAGAAAGTAAAAAGAATTTATCAAAATGATTATAAAAATGTGCCGCTAAGCCTGTTTCAAATAATGATTCAAACCAGCTCTAATATTAAAAGTTGAATGTTAAATAATCAATTATTCTTACAACTTCCACTTCACAGTGTTAATTTGTTTTACATTAACAGTGAAATGTTGCACAATTTAAAAGCTGTTAACATCAACTTTACATTAGCATTCTGTATTGGGTCGGGCTATTTGTAATTAATAGCAATATGGCTCTCTTCACTTCCCTGCATTTGAGATTTCTATCCCTCCCTCTCTCTATCTCTCTCTTTATCTATATATATAATACAAATATATAAACCAAACAAAAATATATATAGGCCCCTACACATAAATATTTATACATTAATAGATAAACACACAATACGCACATAAAAAGGCACAAACTATCTCCCTCTAAAAACACACAAACTTGCAAACATGATTATATATATATATATATATATATATATATATATATATATATATATATATATATATATATAAATAATATATAATATATTATATATATATATTATATGCCTATTTTTGATAGTACGTGTGCAGGTGTCCGGGTGTCTATGTATGTGTATCTTAGCGTCTGTGTGTCTTTGTATATATGTGCGCGTGTGTCTATGTACGTATATGTATGTACATTGAGTGCATCAGATCTAGATCGCGAGAAAAACAATACATACACTCAATAATAAGGACATACTGTGTTTTTTTCCTTTTCTTGTAAAAGAATTTTTTAATGAATTGTTATTCTAGCTGCTACTGAATACCTGCCTATTTAATTAAAGATTGTCGAGTCGATCTTTTCATTCACATAGGGACATTGAATTGATTAAACTATTTCTTTGTTTTAGACGCCACATATGCTAAACCCACCGCATATGGTATACACCCACACCGCATATGCTATAAAGCTAACCCTCACATCTTAAACGCTGATGCCACGTATGCAAAATACCCACATCTCAAGTCCCAAACATCCATTGAACTCACACCAAACATTCACATATCCACATCCACGCTACATATCCACAATATACACACCACAGCCTCAACACATCCACATCACATATCCCCATCATCCATATCACATTCACATTTATACATACCCACCTCATTCACATTCACACCACATAACCTCAACATCCACACCATATCCAAATATCCACAGACTCACCCATATTCTAACCATACACACCACATCCACATATCCACATACCCACCCATATTTCAATCACCAACGCCACCTCCAGGTAACACATATGCCAACCATCCACACCACATCCACTTATTCCAAACATCCACACCCACACCCCACATCCACTTATTTCAAACATCCACACTACATCTATATACCTACCCCCATATCCCACCACCACCCCCCACATCAGCTTATTCCCAACATCCACACCCACACCCACACCCCTACTTATTTCCAACATCCACACCACATCCCCATACCTACCCCCATATCCCCCCCCACATCCGCTTATTCCCAACATCCACACCCCACATCCCCCTACCCCCACCCCCTAGCTGTTTGTCTAACCCTAGATGGACGCCACCCTAGCCTGTTTTCCTTGCGCCTAATTTCCCCCCTCACACCTGTGCCACAGAGCCACTAATTAGACAGTAGCTCGGTAAAAAAAGGGGGCAGAGAGAAGGGGGGTAACCCAGGCTTATTAAACCCGTTTGTAAATGGACTAAAAATAGATGAAATTCAAGGGCGGTAAGTGGGTTTATTAAAAACGCGTTTGGTGGGGAGAGTGATATGAGAAGAAATAGAAGCTTTAGAGAAGTTTATTTTTGCGTATAAAAACGTTCTATAGATAAACAGAAGAGATCTACTACCGCTACAGGTTGACGTGTGAATGGTCTGAGATGGAGTTGAGTTCTAGAAGTCAGGAAAATGTTCTTCCTAATTCTTTGCGATGTTGTTTTCTGGGTTTCATACAGAGACCTGGTGCTCTGTAGGGCAGGTGGAGTAGAGTACATTAATATTTTTTTTTTAAATCAAATTGTTTTGTATGACAATCTCATCACATTCATTTACATCATGACACCTGGGTACTAATTAAAGCTGACTTGGGCTCGCGGTAAACCATAAGGAATTGTACCCTGGTCATCGATGCGAGGGGTCACACACTCTATCACGCGACCACCCCGCTCCACCCCCTCACGCGGGATACTAAACTACGATAATTTAGCGTGATCATTATCATATAGTTACAACAAGACATTTCTGGATCAAATGAATGTTGCCCACCCCGTCTTTGTACATGCTTACAGTATACGGCAGTGGGTGCAATAGCCATGCAAGATTTTTGAATGTGGATGTTTTTTGTTTATGGATATGTCTTATGTATGTGGATTTGTCTTTTGTGGGTAGATTTTTCTTTTGGATGTGGATTTGTATTTTGTATGTTGATTTGTATTTTGTATGTGGATTTATCTTTTGTATGTGGATTTGTCTTTTGTATGTGGATTTGCATTTTTATGTGGATATGTCTTTAGTGGAAATGTCTTTTAATTACCTTGCGCCTTGTGTCATGAATATTTGAGACAGAAAGAACAAAAGTTCCAACCCTAAATTTGCAGCCAATTGATTTTTTAAAAACTTAAATTGAACATTTTGTTAGGTATGTTATTTCCTTATGAATACTACTAATCAATTATAAAAAAAAAGTTGTGTAAATATAATTGCAATCTGCTGTAAAGCCC